TATATGATTATATTCTTTTTTTAATTCTAAACATTTTTGCCTAAGAAGTTTAAATAGATTATCTTAATAAAATTTTGCGTAAATATTTTGGCCAAACAATTTCATTCAACATGACTGCATCATCAGGTGACGCTATATATGTATATTCTTCTACTAATCCCCTAAGCACTAACCATGTCGTGTTCGCATTAATACGCGCAAATTCTCGAAACAATTCTCTTGCGGCAACTTGAAGCTCTTCGTTAACTTCTTCGCTTAAAAATGGCCATAATGTATCAATGAATTGTGATGTTATTTTATTAGATAACGATACACGGTTGACCACCATTTTCATTGTTTCTAGTATTGTCCTTTTCAGTCGATGCGATCGTGAAAAATTATAGTCTATAAGACCTACAAATTCTCTATCGACCGTAGATTGTTGAGAAAGCAATTCTTGAAATGATGGCCAAACATCCTGAACAACTCGACTGGTAAAAAATTCGCCGCAAGAGATAGCAATCTCTTGTATAAGTCGTGCAGCCCCAAGAACAACAAATTGTTCTTTATCTTTTAATCTGTTCAAAACTGATGGCCAAATTCTATGAATTAAAGGGTAGAGTTCGTGAGGAATAGGCCTCAATACAGGAAGCGCTATACGTATAACATCAAGAACTAGAACCCTCAATTGAGGGGAGGCTGCAGTAAGAAAATTAAGTAATTTGTCTATAATTTTCATACAAGTGGCTTGTGATTGGGTAGGCTTAGGTTTTTCGTCCGTTATATTTTCTTCATTATGAGAAACAGAATTGTTCGGTTCATCTTGAAGTTCATCCTTTTCTTTGGATTTTTGAAGATTCAAAAAATATTGCCCAATTTCTTCTAACGTTGCTTGTTCTTTTGAAATAGGAGATTGTGTCTTTCCGAAAGAATAGGTCTTTATAAATTCCGCGATCTCTTCAGATAAGCTCGTATCAGATTCGGTTTTATCTAGGATTTTATCTGTATTAGTAGGATTTTCATTTTTTTCTTCAATAGAATCAGATATAGTAGAAACTATAGCAAACAAGACATTTGCTAGTGGGTCTAATAAATTTGGTTTCATGTGGTATGCATCCAACACATCAAAAATTTCCTCTATTGAATCATCCAGGTAAGGTAATAAAGAAATACCTACTACTCTAATCATCGCAGTAAGTACTTGTGGTGTTTTTGGATTTATCATAATTTGATTCAATTTCCTGGATACAGTATTGACAAGATAGTCAACATTTTCAAACACCAATGCTTTCTTAGAAGAGTAACCACAACATATGGAAATATGAGATAAAGCAATATCGGCAGTTTCATGTAAACGAGCATTTGTTTCACCAACTTTTTCGAGAATTGGATAGAGAGAATCCATTAATTCCATTCTAAAATCCAATGCTAAAATTCGAGATATGTTTGCAATTCCTTCCAATATAAGACAATTTACTAAAATAATATAGTTCTGAGATTCAAGGCTCGAGCTTGATCCTTTACTAATCTGATCTAATTTCACTAAAGCTTTTGTATCTGGGTCATTTGCAGGTATATCTGACTCGATGTATTCATGTAAAACGAACTTCGATACTCGTTTAACCTCATGTAATGTATTTGTCGGATCAGTAGCGGCCAAATGTTTTAAATTTGTATTTGGCCCCATATTTATACCAGCGGCACCTAGCAAAATCTCATTAATTGCAAATAAGCATTGTGCATGAAACTTTTTAGAACCTGGATCTCTGACATATGCAAGAAAATGTTCGATTAGGAATGTAACATTTCCAAAATACCCAAATAAACGGATTATAGTTGATATAGAAGAAGCTACATGCTGCTCGCGTATATATTTAAAATGTAAATGTGGAAATGAGGGTAATATTCGATCATATCCTTGTGTATCATTTGATGAGACAGATAATGCATCATAATGCCCTATTAACAGTCTGTTCTCTATTATATGAGCACCTTCAGTATCAAACTCCAAAGAGCCAAGTAATCCGTCTGAGACTCTTTGTAATGATATGTTAAGTACAGTCTGTACTTCCGATCCCAATAGAGAAACAAATCCTGCTATTAATGACAATGCATTATATTTCGCGTTTTCATCTAATCCGACAATGTATCTTGGTAACGATGTAAACCAAGAATTGAAATTTTCTTTAAGTATCGGTGTCAAACTTTCTTTAAAATCGGGATGCAGTCGCAAAGATTCCATATGTTGTCTACAAAGTAATGAAACTTGTTCATAATCATCATTCAAATAGAAAACAAATGTTTCTATTAATATATGACCACAATTATCCAAAGAATTAGCACATTCAAAAAGTAATTTGTAAGACAAATTCACGAAAGCCAAACGAAGTTGCCATGAAGGATGATTACGTATAGTGAATATTTGACCAATTAAGATTTTTATTTGTGATTTGGTTGCTTTGTGCCATGATTTTGTTCTTTCAACGTAAATATTTGATGTATCTATTGATGAAGATGATATAGAGTTCATTTTTGTTACTGAAAGCTGTTTTGCACTTTCACCACCAACTAATATGTCTTTTAATTCACAAAGAGACTCTGTTCTAGAAATAAAAGGCTTACTGACAACATCATTCATTACAATATAAATGGTACTCGTCAAAACCTCTACTATTTTTGTTAACAATAGATGATTCTCTTTTTGGTCTTTTATCAAAGTTTTACTTAATGTGCTTAACACTCCGGGCAGGAAGGTGGACAAGATCCCTGGTTCTCCGATGCAAATTATTAGGCGTTCCAATGTTTCAAGCGTTACTAATCTCAGTTGTAATAAGCGTTCATTTGTAATAATTTCTAGTAATACATATACACAACGTCCAATAACAACTCTAATTTGAACATCTCTAAGTTCGGCTAAAAGTAATTCACGACGTGTCGACATAATAAAAGGATTATTTTCAATTTTTTCAGTGCTTTCAACATTTAATTGTAATAAAGTAAAGACACATTTAACTCCGACAAGTTTTGTTTCTTCTGAAAGTAAAGAATCATTCTTAAAAAGAGATTTATTCTTTGATTCAGGATGAATTGATCTACCAACAATGCTTACGAGCAAAATTAGAAGTTGCTTGAATTGACCAGGCATCATATAATGATTCCAACTTGTTGCCAATAAAAATTGAATACAATTTAGAAATCCTTCAATAAACCCATCACTTTGTTGTAAAGCAGTATTATTGTACAACTTTGACAAAGGAAAAAAAACGTATTGGATCAAATCAAAGTCAAGGACGCTAGGAGCATCAGTTATAGCTTCAAGTGTTTTGTGTAATTTTTTGACAGTTTGAATGATTTCTTGGATTTTTTCGTCGGGGGACGTGACAGATTTCATGAGAAAGACGCATAAAGGCCTTAACTAGGACGGTTACCAGTAAAGGTTACATTCTGTTATTCATTTTCATTTTAGCAAACTTCCTTTTCTAAATTGAACAGCATAATTTAAAGGCTTCCTAACCTGTAAGAACGCCGCTTGGCGTTGTACATCAAGACTGTCGTCTCTAACGTTAAGAGCTGCCATTACCGATTTATGATAACGTG